ATTTAATAAATTTCATCATATATAGTAATTCTATAAATTTTAGGCACAAAAAGTAAGAATTATAATTGGTTATACAATACATATTGTATCTAAAATTTAATTGTTTAATAAAACTGTGGAATCAACAAATCCTATTTGAAGATTATGTATCAAAGTTTACTTAAATTACTTAATTAGCTCTGTGATTTCTTGTAGTTTTTTGATAATCTATTAATTAACTCCATTATTAAGTTATTATACTTTGTTAACATTTATGTTAGACAATTTGTTTCAGTAATCATATACTGTTATTAAATGTGTGGATTTTAATTTTTCATGAAATTTTAATATATGAATAAAAGTATTTTTTCCATATATGTATATGCTACTTTATTAAAAAAATAAGGATTAAATATCTTATTAAATTGCTTATTATTAATTTTTCAATTTTATTTCCTTTTCTAAAAAGATTGACAATATAGTTTAAAACCTGATACCCACATATTAATATGACCATTTAATGCTGACATCTTAAATATTACAAAAGTATCAATTTTTTAAAATTTCAATTCTATAATGTTACTTTTAATTGCTTTATCAGAATTTATTAATTAAAACAGAATAATCCAAATATTTTCAAATTTTTAAAACAAATGCATTAAAAACTCTATTATATTTTAAACAATATTCAAATGTTAACTTCATCAAAGAAATACATCTCAGAATAAATATTCAGACTATAAATGATATATTATATATAAAAGATTATATAGAGAGTTATAATGAATAATTTTGATAATAATACAAAATATAATACAGTAGAACCTCCATTATCCGGACCTCCATTATCCGGATTTTCGATTATCCGGATTGTTCAAAATAAACAAAAATTTTACGACTTTGCTGATTTGCACTTGGCGAATTACGACACTGTTTATGTACGTGATGGAATGCATAACTTTTTTTGTTTCATCAACGTCTCACCCAGCACAGTGGTCATAAACTCTTAATATATTTTACGTAGTAATAAAAATATAACTTGACATACGTATTTATAAATAATTTATATTCAAATTACATCATTTCTATGACCAAGGGCGGCGTAAGGCATGGACGACGTGGGCCACCGCCTATGCCTCGCGGTCCGAAGGGCCTCGCGCCTCGATGGTTTATGCATTACTTAAAAGCCGCAAACGCGAAGAAAAAAATTTACTCGTCATAAAACGATAAATAGTTTGTCAAATTTTTATTCATAAAAATGCAGTTTCAACTATTTTTATTTTATAAAATCCGTCTTCTTGTGCCACCAGAGGGTCTTTTAAACAATAGGTAGTCTGTTAGCGTTGGTCAGTAGTAGTCCAAATTCAATACAAACGTTTGTTTCTTGAAAATTTGATCACGATTTAAATACAGTATTTACTTTTAATATTATCGATATGTCATCGAAAAGAAAGCGTGTTGTATTATCATTAAAAGACAAATTAAAGTATTTGTTTCGATTATCCGGATTTTTCCTTATCCGGACTACCTTCATCCCTAATTAGTCCGGATAATCGAGGTTCTACTGTATGTAGTAAAAAAAATTGAAATTTCAGAATGGAATAAAGTTTAAGTTTTAGAAAGAATATGTAAAAGGAGATATTCAGTCATCAAGAAAAATATGGATTTATAAGAAAAGTCAAATTCCATAGTATAGTTAAAGCTAAAGAATAAAAATGATTTCTTCAGTGTAAAATAATTAATAAAAAAACTTGAAATTAAAAATTAAATTGAAATAAGATGAAATTATGCAAATTTTTGGATCATTTTCAGAATTTTGTTTTGATTAATAGATATACATTAATTAACCTTTTATTTAAAAATCTTATAAAGTTGACATATGTATTTAAAATTAAACTTATAATTTTAATGTTGATATTAATATTAATAATAATAATACAAATTTATTTTAAAAATTTATTTGAATATTTTGTTGATTTTTAATTCAATCAAGCTTGTTATAGTTATAGTCTAAAATGTTTGGAGATAGATTCCTTTTATGAATTTACTCTAAATGATGTTTAAAAGAACAAAATGAATTTTTTCAATGTGTTTAGTGTTTCTGATTGTCAAAGATAAATTATAGTCTAAAATCTTACATCAATCTATATTTTATTATAAAATTTTGATAGAGCAATTAAAATGAAATTATTATTTACAACTAATTGCTGATGTGAAATTCAATTCATTTAATTTTAAAGTAAAAATTTAATAAAACTTTAGTTAAATTTGTTTTACAAAATTGTTATTTATTAATGTAAGCCTATTGCAAAAGAATTCGGAATTTTATGATATAGGTAAAAAAAAAAAAACAACTAAAAATAAATTTTTACTGATTTATATTTTTATATATGATATCATTTAATATTCTTAGTCAGTGTATATGTTCCTGCAATATTAAATAATTTTATCATTTTTCCATTTCTTTCATTTCACTATATAATTTGATATTTTTCTTAATTTACTTGAATTACTTTATTTTGCAATGATTAAAATAAATTTTGGAACATAAATTTTATTACAACTTTTAAAAAAATAAACTTTTCTAATTATTTTTAACCTTATACTATTCAGGAGTTAACAAGAACTCACCTCCACGTTAGAAGCAGATTCAACCAAGGTGTCAACCATTTGTTTGCCAATAGTACCATTCATAACATTACCTATATAAAATTTAAAATGTGTAATATTGAAACTATGAGAAGGCTGAATATAATTATACTGTATAAAATATTTATTTCTTAATCATTATATGTAAAATATTTATCAAAGATTTTCATTTTTGCATTTATTTTTTATATTTCTTAACAAATATTAAAAAAAATAATTTCTCAATTTTTAAAAGTATTTTGAATAAATAATTTATTAACTTTCATAAAATCACACTTTATAAAATTGGGGAAAACAGTGATGGAGACACATGAAAATGTTGATCAAAGCAATCTCGTACTTGTAGACTTTTTGTTTGTTTTCACATTTTGCTGATAATTTTGTGATTCAGGCTCATGTGACAGCAGTTCCTAAGACAGTTTACCAAACAAGCCATTTACAACTGTTTCCAGGAGCTTTACAAATGTTATAAAATGTATGTTGTTCTCATAGAGAGTACTTTGAAGGCTAATAAAAGTAGTCCCTATATATCTTCTGTTTTGTTGTTTTTATTCTAACATTCACCAAACTTTTTTGACACACCACATAAGATATAAAATATAAAAATGATTTTTATTGTGATATTTGTTTCTAATTTGAGAAATCTCTATTTTCCTATAACAGGTTACTGAAACAAATGCTTAATAATATTGAAAATCTTATTTTGAGGAAACCTTTTAATTGGAATAACAATCATTTTAATTAACTATAAATGTGAAAGAACACATCTGCCTTTAAATAAATCTTATAATATTACAGAATAATATTTATGCTGTTTGATTTTTTTAATATTATTTAAAATTATATATTAGAATCAAAGATTTCTTAAGAATATAAATATATATCATTTAATTAATATTTTAAAGTAAAATCATTTTAATTATTATTATAATTAAAAATTTAATTAGTCATACCTTCTAGCATACTTAGCATCATAATCACCATTTCTTTTTGTAATTCTAATAATTCTTTCAATAGATCCAATTGGCTTGAATTCTAAATAGAAAAAAAAATCTAAATTAATTTTGTTTCTTTATTATAAGCATTTAAAATTATAATTAAAAAATAGAAAATTATGTATAGTTAGAAGCCATTATTGTTTCTATTGATATAATCATTTTAAACTTAATTTATTTTTTAAATATGAAAAAAGTTTTTTGTAATTCTTTTTAGTCATATCTTTTTCCAATATCAATAGTCTAATGCCAAAAATGTTGGAATGCAGCAATTAAAACTGATCAACTATTAGCATAATATCTATTAATAGACTATTAGACACTAATTTATAGATTTAACAATCTATTAATAGATTGTGAAATCTATAAATTTAGATGACTGTATTTTTTATACTTTGTGATTGTGTAATAAAAATTCAACGGTGTTGATAATCAAGGTTCAAATACTGTATGGGTAATTTATCACTGTTTGGGCTATCTTTTTTTACACAAAAGCAACTAAAAATTTTGCTATGAAGAACTGAGGACTGTTCTCTGAAAAATATCCAAAAAGGTGAATTTGGGCTACTTCAGCCTATTCGTTTTTTTATTATTATTTTAAGATTACTTCTTTACTGGAAGGAAATAATTCTAACACAAGAGGTTCTGTACTGAGCTTAGTGTAAAAATATACACTTGATTTGTAATAAATGTTATTTTCACTTTAAAACTGTTGTTGTTTTGATGTTTTATTAAACTAAATTTTAATGTTACAAACTATTAAAATTAGACAGTTAAATGGCCAAGAAGGTTAAGGCCTATTACTCTAGGGAATCTGGGAACAAATCTAGTCAAATCAAAAAACCTAAAAATTTTTTGATATGGTTTGTCTTGGAGATGGTTGGTTCCATCCCTCATGACCCAGCTGCTTCATTGTGGGTCTGGCCAAACTTATAATGGACTTGAAAATAAAAAGATCTCTCTTAGTGTGGGAAAAATACTATTAAAATAAGTAAACTTTAATGTTTGGACTAAGAAATACAATACTTATAACCAGTTTTATTACAGCAACTTTAATAATAGTAATAATTATGAAATTCTAATTTATGCAATTTTGGGCTACTTACTGTTTATTTTGGCTATTTTTGATCACAAAATACAGGCAATTCTGTTGGTAACTATTATCTGTTAGAGAACCTTCATTAGCCATTTTTTAGCTTTTTTCCATAAGTGAAAGTTATATAAATTTTTATTCTATTTTGTTCTTAGTTTGCCTAATCAATTCAATGTATCCAACAGGTTCAGACAAAAGTTTAACTAATTTGTTAAAACATTATTCTATTCTAATCTAAATTTCAAACTGTGATTTTTCTGTTATTTTTATCATCAACTATTCCTAAAATGTGCCTAAACTCCTAATATGACTGTTGGCTGACTTGATTTTTCAGTAAGTATAATGATATAAATCAATCAAACTATTTAGAACCAGAATATAATTTAAAAAACTTTGTAACTTTAAGATAACTCCATGTGTATAAGGTTCCTAAGAGAGACAAAAGCTTCCAAAAAAATCTTGAGTATTTCAATTCTAACAAATAAGAAACTGGCTGAACATAGATAAGAAATAGCTAATAAGAAACACACCACTACCTTGGCCTTACATCATGTTTAAGCTAGCATTCCAATTTGGAACACAACTGAGACCTGATGCAGATCTTACTCATAGATCAAAATCTTTTGTCTATATTATAGTTTATATAAACATCTCAATAACCTGATATATATTAATAATCAACCAACCAACAACCAAATTAATCAGGCAAAAATTATAGAATCAGGAAGAAAAGAATCCACCCATGATTCTTTTCTTCCAGACTATAAATTTTAAATTTAAAATTAAAATACAGTATAGTTACTACTTCCATTAAGAGATGGCACCTAATGTCTGCCTTGTTATTCATAGAATATAATTTTCAAATTTAATATTTGTAGCATAATTCCTGCCCAATTAATTGGGCAGGAATTTGGTTGTTGGTTGGTTGATTATTTATATTATAGTTTATAAAAAATTTTCTGTTGGAGCTATTTTAAGGTTCTTGTGAAGGTGGTGTTGTATATTTCCTCCAGCATGGTAAAGATTTTAGAATATAAATATAGTTCACCTTTTATTATTCATTTTATTTGCATATAAAATTTAGCAATTTGCATCAAAAATCTGGAAAGTTATTGAAATATTACTTTTTTACTTCATTTTCATTAGAACTTTCATTGTCATTATTCCCATTTCATTCATTACTATCATGTTCTTCAGCTTCCTTGAATATTACATTATCCTCTGTTCTGTCCAAATTATTGGTAACATATCTCTGAAAATCCTTTATAATTGTATTTTCACCAGCAATCTTTCATAATTCTACTGTTATTCTAACTTTTAAAATAATGTGTGAAATTTTTATTATTTTTTTATCTATGTGATTGAGTATGAAAATTGGTTGCATTCAATTACATTTCTTTCTTTTCAAAATTACTTTAATTAGAATAACATTTAAAAAAAAATTTTATTTCCAAATATCTGGGAATCAATCAGCATAAATGAACTTTTTATTACTTTATAGTAAGTTTTACAAGTCACATTTAAATCATACTTAGTTGATCAAAAAATTTTATTCAAAGTGTTTATGCTAAAAGCCAAACAATTACTGGATTAAATCAGGCTACATTCCTGCTACTAATAATTATTAAACACTAAGTAATTTGGCACTAGAGATAGGTATTAGGTGCCATATCTTATTAAATTTAATAATTATAATTAAATTAATATTTATTAAATAATTTAGAAAATTTTGGAAGAAGAGAATTGGTCTTGAGCAGGACTAAAACCAGCAACTGCACTTACTATGTGGACGCATTGCCAGTTACACTACCCGAACCTCTGTCTGATCTTTTACTTCTAGATTTGTTTAATTTTGATATAGCCATACTAGTATAATTATATTATTACTAATAAGCATACTAGTAATTATTAAATATTATAATTATAATATTTCATAAGAGATGGTACCTAACACCTACCTTTAATACCAAATTACTCGGTATTTAATAATTATTAATAGTGATAATGTAGCCCAATTTAATCTGATAATTGTTTGACTTTAATATAATTATCAGGCTTTGAGATGCAAAGGTTGTTTTATGTTTAATAGAAAGAAAAGTTTTGTTGATATCAATAAAAATGAAATTGATAAAAATAATATAGCAAAATCAAGGCAATGTCCTATGCACTGAGTAGTAGGCTGCCCAGCATATACAATCATGTCATAGTAGTAAGCTTCCTTGTATATTTCAAGTATATTCCAAGTATATTCCTGAGAGTATACTTGCAGTTTTATAACTATTGAAACTGAAACTTAAACTCTGTTTCATTTTTGCTTGTCATATATTTTTTATAACTGTTTATAAAAAGCTTTATAAAAATTGGTAAATTGCTGAATTTATAAAAAATGTTTTAAAGTCTAAAACATATGGACATATTTATCATATAAATTTACAATTACAATAGAAATTTATGTCTTACAACAGAATAAATTTTGCAATAACTTTTCAGCAACCTTTCCCTAATTTTTGACAATCACTTGATTAATAACCTCCTCAGAATAAAATAAAAATATTACTGAAATAAAATTTCTGCAAGTTACCAAAACTGATTGATTATTAAACGATTGGCTTAAGTTTAGTCAATTGTTCAAAGACAATCAACTAATCAGTTATTTACAGTCATGTTGTAAGGAACCAAGTCCGAGCATTATTTTTAGTTACTTTTATTTTTGCTTATTATTATATTTTTGTTTGGGGCTTATGTTTTGTTAGGATGAAGGTTTCCTCACCATTCACCTTAGAAACTTAAAAATAGAAGAGAAACCAACTCACTGACAAGAGAAAAGCGCCGTAGGAAAAACTTGCGAACACTTGCGCTCCCGAGCGGAAAAAAGTAAGTCTGCACCGAGAAAAGGGGGGAGACCCCCAAGCATAACTTAGGACCTTGCTAAACCTTAAAGAATAAAAACATCCCGAAAATTGTCAAAAAGAATAATGTAAAAGGTTAGCGAGTATTGTCGGAAAATAGGCTGTCAGACAAATAGAAAAAAGTTTATTGTTAGCAAATAAGTATGTAAATGAGGGGAGTGATCGCATTCAGAATTGTGATGTCACCTCACAGTATAAAGTCTGAACCTCAAGTGAAGACAAGCGATGTGAGCTTCTGTTAGCAACGAGCATGGTGAGCTTTGTAGCAGCAAACGAGAGAGAGGTGTCTGATAGGATAAAAGTAGTTCCAAGGCGATTTTGAAGTTATTCGATTTGTGGATTGAAGATTAGAGAAAGTCTTGAGAGTTGAGGAAAAACGTTCCTAGTATATTGAGGTGATGATTAGGATCTTTAATTCATAAGAATTATTGTATATAAGTTAAGTCTTTGAAATTTTGTCGAATTCCAAAGGGGAATAGAATTAAGTTAGAAAAGAGATTGATTTGAGTTTTGTCGAGTTGATTCTTATTGATTTTCATTGAATAAATTGTTATTTGATTTTTACTAAATTTTGTATATAGTTTATTACTAGAACTTTTATTAAATATTTGGATTGGTTTTGACTAACGTGGTCATTATTTAATTCGGTGCACGCTTAAAGTCCAGGCCTGGCACACTAACGCGAATCCGTGTAAAGTACCTGTTAGGGAACGGCTATTTTCAGCACACAGTCGTGTCGATAATCATTGGAAAAGTCGGAAAAATAATATAGTACTTTACAATGTCAAACACTTAATTCTTGCACATTCTTGCAGCATGACAGGTCACAACTTGGCTGGCATTTATCATCATTAAGCAATAAATGCACCAAATTTTAGAATTAGTTTAACTCTGTACAATGTGATTGAAATAGAAGAAAACTTTAATTGGACTTGAATATAGATCAAGTGATTATTTTCTCCTTTAAAACTGGGAAAAAACATTGGGTCAATAAGATAAATTATTGTCTTTACAACAATTTATTATTTAGCAGAAATTCTTTTATAAAGCTTCCTGCTAAATAGTCTTACAGGAATATAAATCCTACTGGAAACATTTGTATAAAACAAAAATGTTTGTGCTACATTGAATAAATCAAATATCATGTAATTATTTTGTTTTTTTAGCATATTTTTATATATAAAGATATTACCTTAGATAATTTGTCTTGCATATGAGCAAACAAAAATAAGAAACCACCTACAGCATCCCACAATCTGCTGTGAGCTAGTGCTTGTTGATTCAGAGAACATGGACCCTGTATTATTATACATTTACATATTAATAACATTTTATTGAATTAATTATTAAAAATTATAACTATATATAACAATATTTTACCTGAATAAATTCAGTTAATGTGTTAAATACTTGCTTTGCTACTGTGATTGCTCTGCAAAAGTTATCTTTACCCTGAAAAATAAGATAAAATATTTTACATTTTCACTGTTATATTGATTAATTATTGTTTTATGAAAAGAGTATATAAAATCCTAATTAATAGGATATTATCTAATTTATCAAGAACTTTATTATGTAAAATGTGAAACTAAGATTGATAGAATTTAAATTCAGTAATTGAAATAAGAATGAAATAAGTAAAAGGGATAAAAAATAATCAAAAAATACAGGCAAAGGATATGAAGGAATGCTCCTTTATATAAAAATTACAACTATTCAAAGATTAGTAAACTGAATTAACAAAACAAATGAAAATGCACAAGATTAGTATTAAAGGAATTTCTGAAATTAACAAGAAAAAGTTTATTAATATTCAATAACTATTACAAAATAAAAGTCAAATACTGATCATGAGAGAAAAGTAATCATTCCAATTATTAGAGTACAGTTGTCCCTCTATAGTCCGACGTTTTTTAATCCGACATGCTCAGTAGTCCGACGCACCTCCCGTCAAGGTACCCATCCTCGTTACGTGTCTGCTTGCACAGAAGCATGTCGTGATGTGAATCTCNTTATTCATTTTCCTTTACCTTATACATTTAATTTGTAAGTTCCAATAACATACAAAAATTCACTTATACTTTTTCTTGATTTTTACTTTTATCAGATTAAAATAAAATATCTATTAAAAGGTAAATTGGAAATTTAGTTCTCGATATGTATATGTTTATTATCCTCCAATTTATAATTGCTGTCTTTCATAAAGCAGTCCTCCTTTATGTAAAAAATGTGGGTGGGCATAAGGAAGAGGTTGTCATTTTTTTACAGGAGGAGCAAGAATAATTAGATGCAATCAGACAGTATTTTAGTGTAGGAAGTTTAAATAACTTGTAATATGGTCAAATTCGAAAGTATAAATTTGATAACAAATGCATGAATATTTTAGAACATGACAATTTCTCACACGTTGATGTAAGAAGAGTTTATGATAATTTAATTTATAAATGAAATGGAGGCTGACCAAACAAACTATTTTGGTTTCTTTTACTGTAAAAAATAAATACATTGATATGCAGTAGCCAACACCTTATTAGTTGCTGAGGGAGTTTATTAAAAATGAACGTTTTCGATCTACTCAATAGATCATCATCAGATTAGAACATTCAAAAATGGAATACAACATAAAATGGAACATCACATTCAAAATTCAAAAACTGATAACATATCAACTAAAAAGAATAAAACTATACATAATACATAAAATGTAAAAATAAATAATATACTACTATAGCTAAACATTAATACATTTTTAGTTACTATGTTATCGGTTTTTGAATTTTGAATGTGATGTTCCATTTTATGTTGTATTCCATTTTTGAATGTTCTAACCTGATGATGATCTATTGAGTAGATCGAAAACGTTTGTTTTTAATAAACTCCCTCAGCAACTAATAAGGTGTTGGTTACTGGATTTGCTTTTTTTGCTGAGTATGCTTGTGTTCAATACATTGATATGTCCATCCTGATTTGTTAAATGATTTAAATAAAAGGTTCATAAAATTTAGTAATAGCACCATAGTGAAGATCTTATTGCCGTTCTTTCCCAACTCCGTCTCGTTGAGTTGATTTCCTGTGTATCACGACTCGATGTAGTGAATCAGGTTTGTTGGAAAGCACACCTCCACACTCAAATTGAATATATTTACAGTTTATTTACAGTAGTAGAAAGTACAAGTTAGAAAACATAGCATATGTACAGGATAACCATGTGTGGTGACTCACGTGCCAGATTGGTGTCTGGGAACTAATAACCTTTGGAGAGACCTCAGTCAGCTTGTGGAGTTGGCTCAACTGCACGGTCGGTCCGGTCTCTGCACTAACCCATCCCTGAGATGATTAACAGAGGAGAACACTCTCTCTACGCTCAGCAAGCTTCCCAAGTGCCTGAGACTACCGTGTACCAGTCTCTTGCCCTTCTCTCCTCCTCTCTTGTTCGCCCCGCAATTTAAGGGTATTTTTGGACGGGGACTTCCGACCAATCACAACCCCTTCTTGTCAGAACAGCTTACACTCGGGTCCGCCGTCATCCAACGAGAGTGAAGCTTACACAAACGTCCGCCACTTGTTTTCATCCATTTGTTTACCATATGGCAAATGTACTACCGTCTGACTGCAGGTGGGTCCAATTAACAAAGCCGGCACTTCCTTTGTTTTCCCTTGTTTACAAGTCAATACCTTACAAGTGGTATTACCCGACCGCACATGGGTCCAATTGACAAGGTCGCGCCTCTTTTGTCCCCACTCTGCTAAAAGGCCATTACTTTACAACCATTAAAAAAAAATTTTGCATTTCTCTTTTAGTGTAAAAAAATGGAAATTAACAAAAAAATTTAATATTACAAGTATATAATATAAAAATAGAATATTTTCTCTGTTTAACATAAAAATATTCTTAATATGCTCTTTGGCATAACACATTCCTTGCATTAAATACGATTTTAAATACTACATTACTACAACTTATACATGGTCTTCCAAAATGAATGCTACACTTTTAAATTATTTAATTATGTTAATTATTATCTGAGAAGTATATGACATATACTAATCAATAGAATCCAAGTTTCATTTCCTATTTGCATTCAAACATTGTCTACTACTTCTAGGAAACACCATGAACAATAATGGTGACTCAGCAAGAGAAGAGGCATTTTTTGTTCTGCAGTTCACAAAGTTGGAATCATTTATCATTATACAACATGAGTAACCTGTAATAACTACAGAATTGTGGCTGCTGTAAAATGAGTGACATTGGATATGCTGTACTTAGTGAAGAAAGTATTTAATTTAATTTAAGTAATTTAAGTATCATTTAGAATTGTGTCATGTGGCACGAGGTGCACATTGAGAAATTGTAAGGGACTAATGTAAAACTTGGACAGTTTTCAAATGGTTTAATGTACATTACAACATTCTCAGATAATAATTAACATAGTTACAATAACTTAAAATGTTAATGTTGTTATTCTTTTTGGAAGAATATATACACACTGTATAACTTATATAGGGAGAAACGTAACAGAAATAATGTAAAAAAAATTTTTTTAAACTAACTATATTTCCAGAAGATTTTAACATTAACATTTTTTTATAAGACCTATAAATACAGTAAAACATGATTATAGTTTTGCACTTATGCATTTTTCACATTTATATGTTTTATTTGACAGATCCTGGCTAAATCTTGAATAATCTAATATTATTTTCTTTCATTTACTGGTTTTTACTTATTCATTTTCCTTTACCTTATACATTTAATTTGTAAGTTCCAATAACATACAAAAATTCACTTATACTTTTTCTTGATTTTTACTTTTATCAGATTAAAATAAAATATCTATTAAAAGGTAAATTGGAAATTTAGTTCTCGATATGTATATGTTTATTATCCTCCAATTTATAATTGCTGTCTTTCATAAAGCAGTCCTCCTTTATGTAAAAAATGTGGGTGGGCATAAGGAAGAGGTTGTCATTTTTTTACAGGAGGAGCAAGAATAATTAGATGCAATCAGACAGTATTTTAGTGTAGGAAGTTTAAATAACTTGTATGAGTACAAAGTAAGAAATCAGCACAATAACCAAAAATTCCGGCAAAAAAAAAATCTTTAATAAAACTAAGATTTTCAACCAACTTTACTGGCCATTGTCATGTTTGAATAAAGAACAGAATTTACAAATTTGATTAAAAAAAATGATTATTCCACTGAAAGTTGCCTATTGTGTCATATTAAGGAACTCGAGAAATTATTTCAAGTTCCTTAAATTAAATTAACACACAAGTGACTTCAAATCAAACAGTCATTTTTTTAATCAAATTTGAATCAAATTATATTCTATCCTATGTTTGGCAGTATTTTCATTGTAAACCTAACAAGGACCAATAAAGTTGGTTGAAAATATTAATTTTATTAAAGTTTTTTATTTTGCTGGATTTTTGGTTTGTGGTGATTTCTTACTTATACATCCAGTTTCTTTGATTGGTTTTTATGAATACAAAGTTAATTAATCTAATATAAACTGTCATCAAATTTCACTTATTTGTACTTTATATTTTAAGTTAGAATTCATTAACTGTTAATAACAAAATAAAACTGATTTTTGTGGATGCATATTTATAGCATAACACATTCAATGCCAAAGATGCTATACTGCCTCACCCAATATGCCAAGGATGCTCATGTGTATCCTATGCCCTCAGTTTGATTATACTACTGTGTGGAGAAATTTTATCCTTCATTTATAAAAAGTTTATTTTTATTGTTTATAGTACATTTTAAAGAATATTTTTCATCCATTTGTTTTGTGTTAGTATTCTGTATGTTAATTTTTTATCAGTACAAACCCAAACATTAGGCCCAACTTTTTTGGTGAAAAATAAATAAAAATGCAACAGCAAAAATTCCTTTGACATTTTAAACATACATATTATGATTAAATAAAAAATTTAAAAAATTTTGTCATATTGGTAGGAAAATTGGGACTTACACTGGCAATGAACATGTTAATAAATTGAATAAATGAAAATAAAATAAGTTTATTTACTGTATTTTCTTTTCCAATTTTTTTTGTCAAATTCTAATTATATTTACAATTTTATTCAAAGATGTTTAAAATCAACATTTAGTTGATTTTATGAGTATATTCACATGAATGATATAGCCACTCTTTAAATGCTGATTTACTGTCTGGTCTGGCTCATTTGTAAAGAAAGGCAGTTTCCAGTTATATGTTTTTTCATTTATGCTTTTTTTTCAAATAGTTTCATCAAAAATGTATAACCAAGATTTTACTTTATCTAATATTTGCACATATTTAAATACTTAGTAAAATTAAATAGAAAAATGTTATCAGAACATCTTAACAATTAATTAAATTTTACTTACAGGTTGATCTATGACTTCTTTGCTTGAATAATGCCAATAAAAGTCCATAATAGATTCCTAAGTGAATTTTAAATTATGAAAATTCAAACATTTTAAAAAATCTAAAATATCTTTAATTTAAATACTTACTTGTAATCTTAATAAATAATCAACAGTGCTAATTACTACATTCACAGTTGTAGTGTTGCCTGCTTGTGTTCTTAAATAATTCTGGAATTCTAAATACAGGAGAATATAGCAAATCAAAAAGTTATATATTTAAATAATTTAAACTATTCAATATAATTAATATACAATAATCAATTATCTTTGTAATAAATATCTATAAAATTGAATATTACTACAGTAGGGTCTTGTTTTATATGGATTGGTTTACATGAATTCATGTTTATGTGACAAATTATTAGGTTTGTGAAGTCCAGCAAGTGTTTCTAACTTGTCTTAATCTTCTCTGCTAATAAAATAGCAAAGGAATGTAACTATACTATTGAACTACTTACTTTCTGGTGAATTTATGGATCAATTTGAACTATAGTTTGAATAACTGCCAAGAACAGGTATACACATATTTTGATTTAAACAATATAAGTCCAAAGATCAGTAGATCCCTCTGGTTGGGATTGTATTCAGCACTGACCTTTCCTGCAACATGAGATAGTCTTGAATTTCTTCTGGAAACAGGTAACGAACAAATCAGGACATAAGGACAGAGTCTGAAACCAATCAAAATGTTTGATCAAGGAACAAATTCTGTAAAAACCCTGTATTCCAAGGATATGGAAAGCTTTTGACCAGTTCCACTCAACTTGTGACATATTCCCAATCAGTTTCACCCAACTTGCTTTGTCCCTATAAATTATTCCATTTTATTGCATTCTTAGTAACTAATGACTCTGTGTCTTCATTAACTTGTGTGTGTGTGTGTGTGTGCGCGCGTCCGTCCGTCCATCCCCTCTCTCTCTTAGTAGATTCTATTGCTTGTCCATGCACCTCTGATTCATATTATCCATCCCTTCAAATGGATAGTCAACATGATGTCCAGCTGATTGACCCAAGAACCCTGATCCAAGTTCTAAATATTTTATTTTTTAATAATGTAGAATCAGAGGTGGCATAACAGCTCTCTCTCTAATAAATGATATTGTACTAAAAATGAGTCATCCTTCTTCCCAAATGTACTCATTCACATTCAATTGGCTATTCAATATAGCTAAAAAGTTTTAAGCATACTTTAACATTTTTCTGTTAATTATAAATGGTTGAATAAATGTCTTGGCATCTAGGTGGTCATTACTTGGGATTACTTGGAGTGGAACACAAATTTATGCAAATATTCAGTTTATGAGGTATCTGCTGACATGCAACTCCCACATAAAATAAGACCATATTGAATTTAAATTTGTAATTTTTTAATTGCATTAAAATATTATTGCAAAATAAATAAGTTTGTTTTACTGATTATATGTTCATTAATTTTTTTTTTTTGTTAAAACTAAGAATCAATCAATACACAGTATGCCAAAAAGTTGTTTGTCAAAATGTGGAAAGAGGACATATTGCAAATTACAGATGACAGACACTGTAAATGACTTTAACGACATTTAATGAAGTCTGTATGACAGTCAGATTTGAGACTAGTGTAAGTATAGTGTGTTGTACTATATTCCAGAATACTCATCAACACTCATGTTTACTGTTGTCTACACACTCAAACACAGTATTGTATGTGAAGACTTTGTGTCATCACTGCAAGAGTTGCATGTGGAATATTGTGAAGAATGGTATCAATTCTGTCCTTCAACTTGTTGTGGGAGACAAGCTGTGTCTGGAAGATATGTTGCTTCACATAGTCCCAAAAGAAGAAATCCATTGAAGTTAGGTCAGACAAGCTGGAGGCCATGACAACCAATCCAATGGAAACTTAATGCAATGTTCCAGGACGGAAACATTGCATTAAGTTTCTTCTGAATGGATGAGGCAGTGTGCACTGTCCATCGTGCTGGAACTAAAGTTCCTATCACTTACTCAGAGGAAGATCATTCAGGAAATCCAGTACAGGTATACCTCGCCTTACGTCAGTAATTGGTTCCAGGAGAGGCAACGTAAGTCGAAAAATGACATAAGTTGAATTTACTTGTCACTAGGCTAAACCACAAATAACTATTCCCAGTTCTGTATTTTATTTATAAATGCATTTTTTAATAATATATGGTTAATAAGAATCTATTTTAAGATTACAAACAAATAAATTTTAGTTTTTAATATAGTATAGGAAAAATAACCTAAATTTACGATTTCATGTACTGTACGTACAGTACATGTAAATGTACATGTTTACAATTTGGCAATGTTTACAGTACATCGCGGACTCTTTATTTGTGAATGTGGTTTGCTCTAAGACATTATAAAATAAGATTATTTTGTAAGGTTAAATACAAATACAATTATTAAAATCATCTTGCGACAGTAGAAAATAAACTAATTTATATTGAATTTACCAATATCGAGTGGTGCTGACAACAACACCAAATGGTAGATATTGGAGCTCCGTGGAAAACACCAATATTGAGCACTTAAAGACTGCTAAATAAGAAGACAACACAGAAACACAGATGTTTTCATGTTTCGTTCTGTACGATTTATGATAATTATATTAACATTTACTGTAAATGTACACATTTTAATATGATTTTATGTGCTTTAACGCTTTTCTAGTGATATTACGACTTCAATATTTGTGGCGGATGGATATAAAGTCAAATAAAATGACAAACTTAATTTTTGTTTTTCCACATATTTTTTGACAAACAACGTATACTCGAGAACAACATAACTCGAGGTATACCTGTACAGTGGTATTCAACATGTTCCCATATATGTGTTAGTTCACATTACTTTCGAAGAAATACAGACCAACGAGTGTCTCCCAGAATACCTAATGATACCATAACTCTTGGAGAGCATTTGGCAAATGATTTTTTAGCAACAGTGAATAACCAGTTTAGTTTTTTTCTTATATTCATGGCAATCTGTATATAAATATACTGCAAGTAATATTCATATACAATATGTACATAATACAGGGTGAACAATTTGCAAAACTGATAAATTAAGATATGGAAAGATTATGTTTTTCATTCTATAAAATCATTTTTTATTTATTTATTTGTTTTGTTCATTTGTTTCTTTTCTGTTTATGTAATTAGATTTTTTTAATTATAAGCAACAGTAAGGAAAAAAAAGTAAAATGAACAATGTATCTATTTGCTTTTGTATTCGCTTTGTATAAATTTTGTAGTTTATTAAATATATTATTCTTAATTTAAGTTTAACCTGTGTCACCCTGTCTAATTATTCATAACCTGTCAGTTTGCCCATCGACCTCCCAACTCACTTTCAGCCCTCCTAAAGCCATCCCCTGACAAGAAGCTAATAAGTAGAATCAAGCTCACCACTCAATTGCCCCTTCCGTTCTCACATCATTCATAAAATCTGGTACTTTTAATTTTCTAAGCAAATTGTTTGAGATATAAGTTAAAGGATAAGGATTCTGAGATTTTTCTGAATAGACTAAAATAATTTGTCTTCCTTTAATTATTGAATATAATCATATCATATACATTATACTGTAGTTACAATAACTTACCAAGATTGTGACCTTCACATAGCAGTTGCAAAAATCGGAAAAGAGCACAAGTAAAATCAGCATCATGCATATTTTTCTGACCTGCAGTGCCTTCTGAACCAACACCAAGTCCTTCTGCTTTTTGATTTCTTTCAAAAGCATCTAAATCTAATACACTAAAAATTAAAGAATAAATATTCAGTAATCATAATAATAGAACTCTTAAATTATTTAAACTTCCACAGAATAGTTTGTAATAAAGAACAACATCTTCAAATAATACAATTCTTAAAAAAAGATATCTCCATAGTTTATATTTTAAATTAATTAAGTCATAAACATAATTATTTGTTATTTTATAATTATAACAAATTATATAAATATAAACAACTTTACTAAACCAGATACATTGCAATAACACATCATCAACTGCTGTAAATCATCAGGTTATACCCCAATGATTTACAGAAGTTGATGTGTTATAACAAATTACAAATTAATTTATTTCAAATTAAGTGTATGATCTAATTTCTATTCTTTCTAACAGTAACAGATAAAATAAATTATTAAATAAAAAAATATCTCCAGAAAACTATTCATTTTTTAAACATTGGTAATTTGATTAATATAAGTTAATATAAAATTAATATTTGTCAATAAAATATCTAAACATAACTTTTAAAAATTTATTCAAATAAATCACATCTTGATTGTTTAACATCCAAACATAGCTAAAAGACTCATTATTTTTCAGCCTAAAAATAATTCACCTTTTAGAAATGTTTGGCCTTTTTAATCTTTTTTACAAATAGCCTTTCCTTCCATCTATAAATATTAGCAGATTTTTTAAATAGAATGTTAATGAAACAACCATATCTCAAAGAAAAACCTTAGAATACATTGACACTTTTTAATCTTCTAATGTTTAATGAAACTGCTTATAATTAAATAAACTAATTCTTCTTTAAATGTTACATATTAATTTAGAAATATTACTGTAGTAGTTTAATTAAATCTAAATGCATTTGCATTAAATCAACAATGATAACGTTGATAAATAAATAAAATAAATTTATGGCATTATATTTCATTTTTATAGTAAAAAATTTTGATATTTTATATGTGATTATTTATTTTGAAATGCTTTATCATAAACTTTAAATTTAAAAATATAAAAATTTAATGTTAAGTTCTTCAATTGATTTATTGATTAAATTACTGCTATAAATAATTTTTTACACTTATTTTAAATTATATAAGTTAGCAGTTCATAGCTGAAGTATATAAATTCTTTCTGAAAATAATGTTCCTTATTTACAATAATGAAAAATTTCATTATTGTAAATGGATAATGACAGTTTTAATATTTTTGATATTCATAAAATTTTATAAACTGTATTTAATAAAGCACTATAAAATAATCAAACTCCAGCAAGAAATACAAAAATCTACAAAAGCAAATGTCTTCACCCATGTTAAATGGTCATCATCAGGCTAAAAGACCTTTGAAGTTCAAACACAGCTGTTAAAATAATTCAAAAAGATGAATTTCTTAGGATTGTTGATTGTCATCCGTGTGCTAAAGAAATTCATCTTTTCAAACCATTTGTGACATCTTTTCAAACTTCAAAGGTCTTTTAGCCTGATGATTTAACATGGATGAAAATGTTTGCTTTTGTAGATTTTTGTATTTCCTGATAAATTTTGGTTCTTTTAGTAATGCTTAATTACACATATCCAGTTTGTGTCATTGAATTCTATATATTTATTTTAAGAATTATAATTATCATACAGATATCTCTATAGAATTAAATCATTTAAATAAAATTAAGATTACCTGCAGGAATTCATTAAACCAGCAATTGAGGTGAAAAAGCCAACATCTTTTTTTTCTTTCAAATGTTTAAGCATGCTCTAAAATAGATAATTTTTCAAATTTTAATATTACATTAATTTCTCTTTTCTTTAATCTTTAAAATAATTTAATAATAAATCATTGCATAATTAGAATTAATTTAGATATGTTAAAAGCACTTTTGTCTTTCATACAAGCTAAAGAGAAACAAATACCTAAAGATATGTTACCATTGTCTAGAGATTTAGCTGAAAGACAGATGATAGAACTAAAGATTATCCAAGAAGAAATAAAAGAAAAGCAACATGATATGGATTGTGAGAAAAATCAAGCAAATGATCTCTTAAAAAAAAAACCAAATGCTCTTGGTGCGAGCAATTTACAGCAAGAAGTTAATGAACTTGGTTCAAAATGGTCACAGATTCAGTCACTCATCAAAAACAAATTAAACTTTTTACAAGAATTAAAGGAATTCCAGGAAACAAATGATTTACTTATTAATTGGTTATCACAAAGAAAATAAATCATTGCATAAAGCAAAAGTAATTTAACTGTATTAATTTGATTAATTTGAGATACCAGCCCATTGTAGACCAGCCACAATTACACCCCTTTATAGATAAGCCTGATTTGTAGCAGGTTGACCAACAACGTTAAAGATTTGTACTAAGACTTTAACTGAGATATTATTGTATGACCATTTGATTGACCAGAAGCAAACTAAACAACAAAAATATTTCTATAGAAATTTGATGCCTTTGTAAATTACTTATTTTAATACTTTTAGGACTATTCAGTTAAGTTTTTATATGAATAAAATTATTCAATCTGAAATCATATTATTCAGAAAAAATAAAGAAGAATTCTTGTCAATTTTCCAATCTCACAAATATTGAACTCTATAATACTTCTATTAATTATTACAAAAAAATTAATTAATTAATTAAACTTAAAACTTATGAAGAATATTAATAATCAATTATTATTTTGCAGGATAAGTCCGTTATTTTAGTTAGGAAGATGCCAGACTGTTCAGATTACCATATCTATACTGTATAGATAAATTCACATGCATCAATAACTTAACATAAATTAGATTTTAGGTCAGTATTATTTAAGTATCTGTTTTTTGCATTTAATAATATTTGTTATGTTTACTTATATAAAAGAGTCAGACTAATTATATTTGTTCGATTAATCAGAAATAAAAACTTCTATAATTCTATAATGGCATTATCATTTACTTAATGTCATGATGCATTTATATTTAATGAAAATAAGATAGTCTAACAAAACTTAAAACAAAGATATAAATGCATACTATGTTTTCAAGTATTTTTATTTTATTTCTGAAGACTCAAATAAAATTTATGTTATTTATATTTCCAATTTTTTTCTAATAAAAAAAAAATCTAATTTAAAACAAGGTATGTAACTCATGACACAAGTTGAAATAATAGAAATTCATTCAATTTATTGTCTTCTTAGAGGTCAAGTTATTAAATTTAATTTTATCAGTTGATCATCAGGATTAAGAGAATGAAACTGATAAGCAAAGCATTGTATTATGACTGCTTCTTTGCAAAAATAATACTTTATATTAATACAAAAGCATACTTTGCAGATTGATGATCTAAGATCTTGTCTTAGATCATCAATATGCAAAGTACGCTTTTGTATCAATATAAAGTATTGATACAAAATGCTTCATTTAAATTAGATATTCAATAACAAAGAATTAAATTAAAAAAGAATGCATGCTTTAAAAAGTTNTACCTTTATTTTGTTTTCATTGGCTTCAACTGGCCATCCAGAACGTGGTGCATCTTCAATATTGAAATTGCCAGAACGAAATTTTGTAAACCAGTTTTGGCACTGTCATTCTGTCAACACACCATCTCCATACATGTACCTCAATTGTTTCCTTGCTTGAACAGCATTTTGATTTTTTGGTAATAAAAAAGCAAAATATGCCAAAAATGATGCTTTCGATCTTCCATGTTTGATGGGACACAAAAAATAAACAATTGCACAAAATCAAACAAAATTTTTTACAAATAAGCCTTAAAATGCTAGCTGTCAAAATATATATAGATAATACGATTTAGAATAAAAATGGCGGAAAAAATACGATTAATCCATCTAGTGGTATAAAAACAAACTTACTTTCCAAACAACCTAATAATTTTATTTTATTATTTGCAGTATTTAAAATTTTTAAATTTAATGAAATAAATGTGAAATTTATTCATTTCTATAATAGTTAAAATAAGCTTATTCAATTATACATACCTTTGCAAGCTGAAATAAATAGAAGTGTCATTTCAGCCACCCCTCTATCTGCTAATCTAGCTTGTTGGAATAATAATCTCTGTTTTTCCATTTCTTGTTCCTAAAAATTAAAATTTTATACAAACTATTAATGCAAGAAATTTATTATTATAAAAAATATAGTGTTTCTTAAATAAAATGTGTAAATAAGTGAAGTTATTTATTATTAAGTTTATATTTGACATTCCATTTACCAAGATAAGTTTGTTTAAAAATTAGCATAAATTATTTTATATAAAAATATTTAAAATAAATTTTTATACAAAAAGTCATTTAACAATTAATATAATATTGCAGTTTAATTTCTTCTTCAAAAGCATGCCTAACCCAAAAACAATTTCTTCATTTAATAATTTGAATTGATTTTATGAAATAATAAACCTTAATAATATATTGATATATTTAAGAGATTTAATTATCAAAACGATAAGTAATTAGCTTAAATGCTTTACATGAAAATAAAAAAAACTAAATTTTAAATAAACATGTATAAAAATTTTAGTTTTGAATATTTTTATTGAATATAATTGTAAGACTGATGAATAATATGTTTTTCATTGGATTTGTATATATTTTTAATTAGACTTGTGTGCAACTCAAGTACAGGCAATCCTTTCAAGCATAATATATAATATAATAAAGAAATTACTAGTCCAATTTTTTTTCAATTAGAATTTGAAACTCATAAATCTGACTAATAAAATTAATCTTCCTTTCTATACAATTTTCAGTTTCTGTATACATATCACTGAATATTAATGTAAGATTACAGTTAGAATGAAGAACCACATAAGATTATAATCTCCAAATCTAAGTTCTCATATATTGTTTCTTTGCAAAGTATTAAAGTTTATTAGTATTAATCAATTTTATCATTTCTCATTTAGAAACTGATTTTAAAATTTACAATTAGAGTTACACATTGAGTTATAAATAATGCTGAAAGATATATAAAAATTAATAGTAAATTTGCTTAAACAAATTAATTCTTCAACAAATTCTTCTGTCTATATAAACATCTCAAAAATCCAATGTATTAATAATCATTTCACCAAATATGCCTAATAGCATAATTTCTGCCCGATTAATTTGGCTGATGGTTGGATGATTATTAAATTCTGTCATTTTTCTTCTCAAACAAACAAATTTTTCTGTCATTGCAATCTTCCTAATGACAAATATCTTGTCTTATTCATTATCAAATCTTGATTATATGCAGTTTGTATAGTCCCTACTGTTTTTAGTCTCCATTTCATAATATATTAATCACAGTAATTCATTCTATTTTTTTAGAAATATATGTTAAAAGTTCCACTGACTTTCAATTCTTAAATTTTTTCTTTAATTTTAACTTCTTTTCTAATTTTTAATGTAATTTTTATTCCTTTCCGTAGTTTCCAAATAAGATCTGATGAAAAATGTAATATGTCTATTAAGAAAAAATTGACACATTGCTTAGATTTTATTTAAATCAATGCTCTGGTATTACTATTTACATTGAGCCATCATATTTTGTAAGAAAATATGAGATTTGTTGCCTTTTAGTTAATTCTAATTCTAATTCTAAGACACAGTAAAATTTCATTGCATCAAATCATGTATTGATTCATAATCTTCAGTTAAAAGAAGAAATAAAATTTATTTTATCAGACTCATTACTGACATGATCATCATTATCATGTGCTATACTGCCACATTCATCTTCTGATACAGAGCAAGTATGTCTTGTAAGCCATCAAATATTGTAATTATAAAGTAACTTATAAAATATTTATAAATATATAAATAAATATTTAAATATTTATTTAGTACAAATTTTATAAAACACACAGCATTAGTAAAACATTCATAAAATTACATGCTTTACTTATAGTATGTGGGGTTCCATCATTCCTTCTTGAAACCAATCATCCAGCAATAATCCACTATACATTGCAAAAACTTTTGTAAAAAGAAATAAAAACAAGTAAAGTAAACTTCTTGCTTCAGTACAAAGTCAGAAAATTCCCCTTGAAAAATGCCATAAGTTGTTTTGTTAATTTTGATCCTCATATAAGTGAACATCTTATTTAAGCAAATAATTCCCATAAGTAAACATTTTAATTTTCCCCACATGCTCTTATACCCCTTTTAAGTAACCAGTTTTAATTTCCTAATTATTCCTCAGACAATAATAAGTGCCTGATTGATCTGCTATTGTCAAATTTTACCTCTGGAAGTAAAGTGAACAAAACTAGCAAGTATGCAAATTTTCTAGAAGTCTTGGAACTGAAAGATAAAAATAGTCAACATTTGTCACATTATAATAGCAATCAGCTTATTATTTGTATTTATAAATGAAGAAAGTATTGTTTACCATAAATAAAACAAATCAAGGAGCCAAGATTTGTCAACAGAACGAAAATTTCTTTAAGATTTAAAAGAAAAATTCCTATCATCATCATCATCATCACCTAGCTAGCATTATGAGCTTTTGAGGTTCTATGCTGCAGACATTCTTTCTCCAGCTCTTTCTGTCTGCCACAATAAATCTCCAGTTGAATATTCTTAATAGTGTTAGGTTTTCTGTTTTATTCAACCAACTTTTCTTGTGGCTGTCCTTGAGTTTATTGCATTGTTTGGGTTTGACAGCCAGTCTGGGTGCATTCTTTCAACACAACCCAACAATCTAATTTGATTGACTTTAAAATTCCTATTATTCATGTCACAATCTACAGTTGATGTATTTCTATGAATATATACAGTAAAAAACTAAAATGAAAAACAGCTATAGTATTTTGAAAACACTTGTCTACAAAGAATTTTTGATCCAGTCTAGAATAATAAATGGGAAAAAATATATATATTTAACCAAAATTTAACACTCAAAAAGTAGGAAAAGTAGAGCATGCTAACAAAAAGTAGGATATGCTAATAAAAAATAAGAAAAGTTGGACAAGTCAGAGCCTTTTACATGACATTTAACAATTTCTATTTCTATATTTATCCAGTGACAATAAAATTTATATTTTAAATATTAAAGATAACTTGTAGATAATTAATTATTTAGATATTTAAAAAAAGGCTTTATTTTAAATTATTATGCAAATATTTAAATTTTGTACAAAAGTAAAAAAATGAATAAATAAATAACAAATTTTAAAAAATAAAATGTTTTATAAGCATTTTTGCAGAAAGTAATGGCCATTCCNGTTCATAGCTGAAGTATATAAATTCTTTCTGAAAATAATGTTCCTTATTTACAATAATGAAAAATTTCATTATTGTAAATGGATAATGACAGTTTTAATATTTTTGATATTCATAAAATTTTATAAACTGTATTTAATAAAGCACTATAAAATAATCAAACTCCAGCAAGAAATACAAAAATCTACAAAAGCAAATGTCTTCACCCATGTTAAATGGTCATCATCAGGCTAAAAGACCTTTGAAGTTCAAACACAGCTGTTAAAATAATTCAAAAAGATGAATTTCTTAGGATTGTTGATTGTCATCCGTGTGCTAAAGAAATTCATCTTTTCAAACCATTTGTGACATCTTTTCAAACTTCAAAGGTCTTTTAGCCTGATGATTTAACATGGATGAAAATGTTTGCTTTTGTAGATTTTTGTATTTCCTGATAAATTTTGGTTCTTTTAGTAATGCTTAATTACACATATCCAGTTTGTGTCATTGAATTCTATATATTTATTTTAAGAATTATAATTATCATACAGATATCTCTATAGAATTAGATCATTTAAATAAAATTAAGATTACCTGCAGGAATTCATTAAACCAGCAATTGAGGTGAAAAAGCCAACATCTTTTTTTTCTTTCAAATGTTTAAGCATGCTCTAAAATAGATAATTTTTCAAATTTTAATATTACATTAATTTCTCTTTTCTTTAATCTTTAAAATAATTTAATAATAAATCATTGCATAATTAGAATTCATTTAGATATGTTAAAAGCACTTTTGTCTTTCATACAAGCTAAAGAGAAACAAATACCTAAAGATATGTTACCATTGTCTAGAGATTTAGCTGAAAGACAGATGATAGAACTAAAGATTATCCAAGAAGAAATAAAAGAAAAGCAACATGATATGGATTGTGAGAAAAATCAAGCAAATGATCTCTTAAAAAAAAAACCAAATGCTCTTGGTGCGAGCAATTTACAGCAAGAAGTTAATGNCCTATCTTACAAAGTTGTATACTTTTCCTGAATACATGTTTTGGATTTTAAAAAATAAGTCAATCATCATCACTACTATATATTACAAAAACAAAGTCATGTATGAATTGATGGTCACTTCAATTTCATTTACTACTGGTTTACAACTAATTTTTATTAAAATAGAAAATTGTTTTTTTTAGATATTTCCAGTTTATCAGTTATAAATAATTCATAGTATTGCTAGATTATTAACTCAATTTTAAATACTTTTCTACATAATTTTTCATATAATGTTCTAGTAATTAGTTGCATTTTTTCCTATGTTATACATGATTTGAAATTTAACTCATAAAATAAATACTGTGTATAATTCTTAGCAATGATTGACAGTGATTCCTCTTGGTGCCAACAAAATAGTAAAAGGAAAAAATAAATCTGATGATAAAACCAAAGTGGTCCTGAGAAATATTTAATCATGTAATGTCGATATCAGTATCTTCTTTATTTTATTATACAGTATTTTGGCGTGATAGTCATCCTATTGATTTTGTCGATACTCTCGACGCATACCAATTTGACCCACTAGAGGGACCTACCCAATAACCAAACAAAANTAAAGAGAAACAAATACCTAAAGATATGTTACCATTGTCTAGAGATTTAGCTGAAAGACAGATGATAGAACTAAAGATTATCCAAGAAGAAATAAAAGAAAAGCAACATGATATGGATTGTGAGAAAAATCAAGCAAATGATCTCTTAAAAAAAAAACCAAATGCTCTTGGTGCGAGCAATTTACAGCAAGAAGTTAATGAACTTGGTTCAAAATGGTCACAGATTCAGTCACTCATCAAAAACAAATTAAACTTTTTACAAGAATTAAAGGAATTCCAGGAAACAAATGATTTACTTATTAATTGGTTATCACAAAGAAAATAAATCATTGCATAAAGCAAAAGTAATTTAACTGTATTAATTTGATTAATTTGAGATACCAGCCCATTGTAGACCAGCCACAATTACACCCCTTTATAGATAAGCCTGATTTGTAGCAGGTTGACCAACAACGTTAAAGATTTGTACTAAGACTTTAACTGAGATATTATTGTATGACCATTTGATTGACCAGAAGCAAACTAAACAACAAAAATATTTCTATAGAAATTTGATGCCTTTGTAAATTACTTATTTTAATACTTTTAGGACTATTCAGTTAAGTTTTTATATGAATAAAATTATTCAATCTGAAATCATATTATTCAGAAAAAATAAAGAAGAATTCTTGTCAATTTTCCAATCTCACAAATATTGAACTCTATAATACTTCTATTAATTATTACAAAAAAATTAATTAATTAATTAAACTTAAAACTTATGAAGAATATTAATAATCAATTATTATTTTGCAGGATAAGTCCGTTATTTTAGTTAGGAAGATGCCAGACTGTTCAGATTACCATATCTATACTGTATAGATAAATTCACATGCATCAATAACTTAACATAAATTAGATTTTAGGTCAGTATTATTTAAGTATCTGTTTTTTGCATTTAATAATATTTGTTATGTTTACTTATATAAAAGAGTCAGACTAATTATATTTGTTCGATTAATCAGAAATAAAAACTTCTATAATTCTATAATGGCATTATCATTTACTTAATGTCATGATGCATTTATATTTAATGAAAATAAGATAGTCTAACAAAACTTAAAACAAAGATATAAATGCATACTATGTTTTCAAGTATTTTTATTTTATTTCTGAAGACTCAAATAAAATTTATGTTATTTATATTTCCAATTTTTTTCTAATAAAAAAAAAATCTAATTTAAAACAAGGTATGTAACTCATGACACAAGTTGAAATAATAGAAATTCATTCAATTTATTGTCTTCTTAGAGGTCAAGTTATTAAATTTAATTTTATCAGTTGATCATCAGGATTAAGAGAATGAAACTGATAAGCAAAGCATTGTATTATGACTGCTTCTTTGCAAAAATAATACTTTATATTAATACAAAAGCATACTTTGCATATTGATGATCTAAGATCTTGTCTTAGATCATCAATATGCAAAGTACGCTTTTGTATCAATATAAAGTATTGATACAAAATGCTTCATTTAAATTAGATATTCAATAACAAAGAATTAAATTAAAAAAGAATGCATGCTTTAAAAAGTTGAAAAGTTAAAAATAAATAAATCTTTTGAAAGTATTGTTATTCAATGCATTTAGCTTTCAAATTTATAAAAATTATATGCAGCACAAAAGTTGATTATAATCTTCAACAATGATTTGAGGATAACCTATATTTTCTAATTAAAACATATATATGAAATGTCTTATAAATGAATTATAATAACAACCCATTTTCAAATGTAAATGTCAGTATTTTTTTTATTAAGAAGTTTTATTATAAATATTTTATCCAAGTAAAACTAAAGAATATTGTTTAATTTTAGTAATACAATAGAGCCTCGATTATCTGACCCCCGATTAACTGCCACGTCGGTTAACCGACCGTCCTAGTCGGCAAATTTCAAATGTCTGCTAGTGATGTGGCACTACAATATTTGGCTATGTCTGGCTACTTTAATATTATTTTTACGTGTTTTAGCTGGCAACACTCATTCGACCATGAAAGGGAGCCAGTATTTAAATGAGGCTTAATTTTCTAATTTTTAACGATACAATAGCGACGATTNACTGATTCTGAATTAACCACAGATTTAATCATTATTAAAAAGTAAACTTCTTCAACCAAAAGCACTATTATCTTAATAGTACAGAGTTGAAAGTTATAAATACATGACAGTAAGTTTATCATAGACATGAAAAAATTGTCATTATGTAACAAACTGGCTTGAAACATTGTAAAAGCTATCAATAAATTACCAGTTTTGCAAATTATAACCATGTTATTCTGTTTGCAAGAATATCTAATTAGGAAAACAGTTATCCAACTGGCTAATCTCTCTCTCTCTTTCTCTCTAATTTCCATGAGAGTACACAAACTGGAAATATATGTATTGTATTCCATACATAACACTTCCATACAATACAATAACACTTACTGTTTAGATTGTTTATTAAACCAATACTTTAATTAACTAATTATAATACTTTATTAACAACAATTTGTAGAAATAAGCAAGTAGTCAACCATGTTCAAATAAATCAGAAAGCACACTAAGGATGTATTGCAATCTTTGCATGAAATCAATTTTATTTTTTTTGTTAATTTTTATTTATTAAATTTATTAGTAATTCACTTTTACCTTATAGAATCAAAATTAAATGATAATCTGAACCAAGCAGCTTCTACACTAATAATGGATTTTTTCATACTTTTCGGTTATCCGACTTTTCAATTATCCGACCAACCCCAGTCCCCAATTGGATCAGATAATCGAGGCTCTACTGTATTTGGCAATATAAAAATGGAATTAACTATATTATTCCCTTAAGTTACTGCATGTAACTTCTAGCATGAAGCAAAATGACATCAATTTGATGTCATCCACAATATCCAAAGCTTTGTTTAGCATGGATATACTGTCAAATTAATGCCATTTTGCTGCATGCCAGACACTACATGCAATAACTTAAATCCAGTTGTATTCAAATACATGAGGTAAGATATTTTGTAAATCTTTTGTGTAAATTTCTTTCAAATAGTTATTGCAAACCTGTTTTTCATATTTATTACATAATTTCCTAAAACATAACAAACAGAATCAAATATCTCATTTTTAACTCATTGAAGCCTAGTCGATACAAAGTTACTTGAGTGAATAGCTAAATGCATGGGCTACAGTATAATCCACTAGCATTCAAAGTTCAATTTTTGTACTATTGCTAATCAAAACAGTTAAAAAATCGTAAGGATAGCAAAAGCATTGTAATATGATATATGATCAGCTACTGAGAAAATTTATAACCTATCTTGCTTTATTTAAAAATTAAGAAATATTATATTATCTATCTTTAATCATGATACAATCTTTCTTCAATATATTTTAATAAATTAAAAAATTTTTTCTTCAAAAACTAAAGAGATATTAAAAGCATTAATATAATTACCATTTGAACATCAACATTTCCTCCAAATAAAAGTGAAATGCCTAATTTCAATGTTTTCATTACCATGGGACCCTGGACACCTAAAAGTGTTTTAAAATACTTACTTTAGAGATAAATACAATTAAAAAACATCAAAATTATGAATAATATTTTTATCATATATACAATAATTTTAATTTTTCCTGTTCTTAAAATTATTATTGACTCCTTTATTGCAAAGGCATTAACTGGCCATCTAAGTTATTAACATTTCTCAGTATTATAACAACATGTTCTTTTATTGATATATCTAGCAATTAAACCAAATAATGGGTTTAGAACCATTTTTAGGGCGTAAGTAAATCAGTAAACATAAAAACCTAAATATTTATCTTGTTTATAACATGAAAAGACAAAATCTAATTTGAAAATAATGTGGATCAATATATTGAGTTGTTCGGAAAGTAAGTTTGTTTTTTTCCGTGGAAAAAAATAATTATATTATTGAA